AAATTGATTGAGCAAAAATCTGGATTATATGAAGATATTTAATGTTTAAGGCAGTGGTTCCCAAAGTGGTCCCTGCGGACCCCCAGGGGTCCCCGGTATCATTCAGGGGGTCCGTGGAAAATTAAAATGGATTTGGGTGTCTCTGAACAACGTCAGGGGATCCGCGTAAGGTTTAATATAAAATAATATAATATAAATAATAATATCAAATAATATAATATAAAAGAGAAGTACGTTGGTTATCTAAAAGTTCATGTTTAAATCAATTTTAGGCGCTCTTTGATTCAGTGTTGGAATTCCTGGAAACCAGACACATTTGGGACCCAATTCAATTAACTCAAAAAATGACATAGCCTATATGTCTGATTTATTTGCCAAATTTAACAAAACTAATTTGAAACTACAAGGTGACCAATTAAATTTAATCAAAACGAAAAGCGTTCGTAATATCTGCGTTTGTTGCAAAACTTTTTCTTTAAAAGACAAAACTTGGGAAGAAGAGAATGCTCTCAGTTTCCAAATCTTTCGACATTGCAAATTAGAGATGAAGATTTGCTTGCTTACTTAACGGCTCTTCATACAGACCTGAACCAAAGATTTGAAGACATTCTTCACTTGGATATTCCCGACTTGGTGTTGAACCCTTTTGCGCGTGTAAAATCTCTGATCCCAAACAAAAATGAATCCATATTAATACAGGAGCAGCTTATTGAAATATCCACAAATGAGGAACTTAAACCAATGTTTGAACAACGATACCACAAATTCTGGTTACAAAAACAGATCCCAATTTTATATCCTGCATTATGGGTTATTGTACAGAAGTTGTTAGCTGCTTATTTGGTAGAACGTGGATTCAGTGCCGTTATGAACCTCATCACAAAAGAAAGAAACCGATTAGCAATTTACAACTCATAAAATCTTATCACGTTCACCGTCATTAATTTTTTTATATTTTATTTGAAACAAAAGTAATTAATATTATAATTTATATATATTCATAATTTCAAAAATATTTCTTCAACAAAACTTTTTTCATTTGTAATTTGTATATTGTGCATTTATGTGGCTTTTTCACTTGGGGGTCCGTGGGCAATTGTTGACTATAAAAAGGATCAAAAAAGTTTGGGAACCACTGCTTTAAGGGGACGGTTGTGGCTGAGTGGTTAAGTTCTGGGATCGAATATAGGCATGGCCCATTGCTTTTTAATTGAGAATAATATGAAAAATGGATTGTAACTGGTATTACCCTCTCGTCCGCGACACCCAAAGGGTAGTTGTACATTAAGCCCTCCTGTATTACTGGAATTACTTATATATAGGAATAGAAGAAACATTGCCGTGATTATATTGTAAAACATATAGTTCAAAACTAAAACAAAAAAATTAACTAGATAAAAGCATTATTTGATTTTCCAGTATATTGGTATTGGGACATTTTAAGAAGGATTAAAGAGTTACTGTTGATCCCCCTCAAAATATTTACAACCCATTATAAAAGCTCTTTGTGAAGGATGGCTCTACTCACAGAATTCAGTGATTAGAACCATCCTTTACAAAAAGTGAATTGACAAACTCACACCCACTTCATTTATTTCTGAAATGCAAATTAAGCACTTGTCAACTCTCTACTTACATCAATCTTTGTCCTCTTTCCGAGTAGACATTAACAATTTAGTTTCATTTTAAAAGTGACAATGGAAACGCGATTGTCTAACATTTTTGTGGGCTGGAACTCTGTCACTTCCTCACCCCAACGTGAACTGAATATTGAGTTGTAATAAAAGAACTATTCTTTGTTTGTGGAGAAAGTTGTGTTCGGAATATACGGCCTAAAAAAAGACCTACATCAATCGATCACTAATTTTTTTTTCGACTTTTTGGGTTTTTCTTTGGGGGAAAAAAAACAAAAAAAAACAAAAAAAAACGTGTCCTTTGACGAAACAAAAATTTTTTCAATTTTTTTTTTCTGTTTTTCTTTGAAAAAAAAAAAAAAACGTTCTACGAGCGTTTTATATCGAAAAAGACTAAATTTTTTTCTCGATTTTTTTTGGTTTTTGAAAAAAAACACGTAACAACTTGTCCTACTAACCTTTTACATCGAAAAAGCTAATAATTTTTGTTTGATTTTACCGTTTTTCTTGAAAAAAAAGGAGCTTTTTATGTCGAAAAAGAATAAAAAAAATTTTCGATTTTGTTTTTGGTTGTTTTTCTTGAAAAAAATGTGTCCTACGAGCCGTTTACATCGATAAAGACAGTAAATTTTTTTCGATTTTTTGAAAAAAAAAAACGTAAAAAAAACTTGTCCTACGAGCCTTTTACATCGTAAAAGACAATTTTTGTTTGATTTTTGTTTTTCTTGAAAAAAAAACGTGTCCTACGAGCCTTTTACATCGAAAGAGACAATAATTTTTGTTTGATTTTACCGTTTTTCTTGAAAAAAAAGGAGCTTTTTATGTCGAAAAAGAATAAAAAAAATTTTCGATTTTGTTTTTGGTTTTATGCGTTTTTCTTGAAAAAAATGTGTCCTACGAGCCGTTTACATCGAAAAGACAGTAAATTTTTTTCGATTTTTTGAAAAAAAAAAACGTAAAAAAAACTTGTCCTACGAGCCTTTTACATCGTAAAAGACAATTTTTGTTTGATTTTTGTTTTTCTTGAAAAAAACGTGTCCTACGAGCCTTTTACATCGAAAGACAATATTTTTTTTTTATTTTTCCGTTTTTCTTGAACAAAAAAACGTCTTACGAGCCTTTTACATCGAAAAATACAATAAAATTTTTTTTGATTTTTTTGAAAAAAAAAGTGTCCTACGAGCCTTTTACATCGAAAGACAATAATTTTTTTGATTTTTCCGTTTTTCTTGAACAAAAAAACGTCTTACGAGCCTTTTACATCGAAAAATACAATAAAATTTTTTTCGATTTTTTTGAAAAAAAAGTGTCCTACGAGCCTTTTACTTCGAAAAATACAATAAAATTTTTTTCGATTTTTTTTATAAAAAAAAGTGTCCTACGAGCCTTTTACATCGATAAAGACAATAATTTTTTTTTTCGATTTTTTGAAAAAAAAAAAGAAAAAACGTGTCCTACGAGCCTTTTACATCGAAAGAGACAATAATTTTTGTTTGATTTTTCCGTTTTTCTTGAAAAAAAAAAAAAAGTTACGAGCCTTTTATATCAAAAAAGACAATAAAATTTTTTTCGATTTTGTTTTTGGTTTTTTGCGTTTTTCTTGAAAAAGTGTCCTACGAGCCTTTTACATCGAATAAAGACAATAAATTTTTTTTCGATAAAAAAAAAAAAGTTAAAAAACGTGTCCTACGAGCCTTTTACATTGAAAAAGACAATAATTTTTGTTTGATTTTTCCGTTTTTCTTGAAAAAAGACGTGTCCTACGAGCCTTTTACATCGATAAAGACAATAAAATTTTTTTCGATTTTTTGGGGTTTTAAAAAAAAACGTAAAAAACGTGTCCTACGAGCCTATTACATCGAAAAAGACAATAATTTTTGTTTGATTTTTCCGTTTTTCTTTAAAAAAAAAAAACGTCTTACGAGCCTTTTACATCGAAAAATAGATTAAATTTTTTTTCAATTTTTTGGGGTTTTTAAAAAAAAAAACCGTAAAAAACGTGTCCTACGGGCCTTTTACATCGAAAAAGACAATCATTTTTTATTTATTTTCCGTTTTTCTTGAAAACAAAAAAAAACAAAAAAGAATTGGCGTACGAGCCTTTTATATCGAAAAATACAATAAAATTTTTTTCAACTTTTTTGCGTTTTTCTTGAAAAAAAAAATTGTAAAAAAACGGCTAAAACTTTTTTTGGAGAGGGGGATAATATGTATTGTCATGATTATGTAATTGTAACCATTTGTTCTCTTTATTATCCTACGCATGAACACACCAGGCATAAATTCTAGAAAGTAAATAAAGCTACAGTAAAGTTTTAATGTGTTGAAAGTGTTGGCCAATATTATAAGATAAATCAAAATATAATTGTTCAAGGTAGGAGAGTGCAGTAAGAAAAATTGAAGGGGTGATAGAGATAGAGTATGGTATAAAGAACAACAAAAATCACACAAGATTTTAGTATATTTGAGAATTGAGAACTTTTTTAAAACTTTTTTTTACAATTGTCATTCACACATGCATTTTCTCTTTGTTTATCCGACTTCAACAGTACTTTTATCCCATTGAGATTTTAAAAATAAAAATAAAATAAAAGTTACATAAAGTACAGAAAGGGAACACTAAAATACCGAGTGAGACTTTCCTTCCATTTGTAATTGTTTGCAAATAGAGACAATTTTGGATCTTTTACGTTATTTCTACTTTTATTTTTTTTTTTTTTTTACATTCACTACCTCCTCCATCATTTTTTTATTTTTTATTTTACAGAATATCGCTAAAGCAGATCATTAAAAAGTTCTTCTCACTCATGCTCATACTTTGAAATATAAGAGTTATAATCAAACATAGAAAATCCAATGGAAAAGTTACAATTTACATTGTTTGCCTCATATTGAAATTTGTTTATAAGCACTTTTGGAAAATTGTTATGAATTTGTTATCTTATATTTCTATTGTCAATCCAAGCGTGATTTTTATTGTGTGGGAGGAGTTGTGATCTTTGTAATTTGAATTAAATAATTTAGTAACAGTGAAAGCTTTCTAAAAATCGTGAATATTTATGTTTCATTGTAATTTTCATAAGAAATAAAAAATAAATAAAAATCTAATACTTTAAAAACACAAAATAATAATAATATAGTAATTATGTAGACTGCAACTAAAAAACCTCAGGTGATTAAGAGAAAAATACAAAAATACTTTTTTTAATTTCTTTTGTTTGAATTTATTTTCTTTTTCCTCTTTTAAAATAATCACCAAGGAAATAAATTCAATTTGAAAAAAAGAGGCCCAAAAATTGTACCTAATTTTTTATGTATATATTTATATATGTATAATATTTATAGTTTAAACAACAAATAACAACAGATATTTTAATTATATATATTTTTGTGTGTTTAAAAGTTTCCTTAAAGTGGATCTTTTGATGCGACCCAGATTGTCGGTCCAGACTGTTCACTTATTACTTCTTTGACTTTGTGATATATTTCCTCAGGCGTATCTCCTTGAACAACAGCTGAAAAACAACACAGTTTATAATACAAAAAAATACTGAAACGTGTCTAAGAGAAGTGTTGCGAAAAAATCAAACCTGTAAAATATTCTCCGAAATCTTGTTCCAATTTTAATGCCCTCTCCATTGTCTTCTTAGCTTGTTCTTCAGTCGTTCTTTTATTCATCTCCCTGTTCATTTGTTACACAACGTTATACTTTCAACCAATTAAAAAAAACGTAAATCAATAATTGAAAACTACTTACATGATAGATTCCACAGATTTAGGCTTAATGAAAATGGCAATTGGGTAAAGTTGGGCAACCTGAAGTCTTTTGATTGCGTTTCCACTCACATCAAGGATGCAGTGCTTTCCCTTTAAGAATTATTCCAAATTTGAAATAAATAATTGTCAAATTTTATTACACACTACTCACTTTCTCAGCAACCTCTTTGACTGAAGAAACTGATGTTCCATAAAGGTTGTCGTTGTACTGTCCAGCTTCGATAAAAAGGTGGTTCTGAATGTCTTTCTCCATTTGCTCTCTAGATGCTACAAAATGATAATCTCGTCCGTCAACTTCGTATTCCCGTTTTGGTCGTGTTGTGTCTTAAAAAAAAATGACAAAAAGTTTTAATATGATACAGGAAGTCTTGAACTACCCGTTGGGTGTTGCGGACGAGGGATCAAACAACTTTACGATAATGTGGCAAAATCAGACATCCTAACCACTAGGGCAAAGTGGTTTCCTTTGTAAAATTTTAACATAATAAACGAACAAAAAATTTGAGATACTTACGAGGCACGCAAGATCCAAACTGCTCGGGAAATTCTGAAATTAGGTCGTCATTGATTCTGTCTTTCAACGGCCCGAGGATGATAACAGGTCTTGTATAGTCAATCCTCTGCTGGCATACAGCTTCATACGATAATACTTGCTCTTCTGCGCCTGATTAAATAAAAACAAAAAGTTAAGCTGATTGTTTATATGAATGATATCAACTAATTACAATATTTAATGTATGAGGTACTGATAATATGGAATTTTTTTAGTGTGACAGTAAAATGGTTGGCTCCTTTGTAAATTGAGTTATTCCTGATGCCTTGCTTTAAGGCTTAAAGGACCTTTAGTCATTCAAATAAGAAAAATACTGTGTGTTAATATGAAATGTCGACTAATGGGACTGGTGTTTCCTGCCTGCTTTTTAACAATGAAAAATTTAATATTCTCCAAGCGATGGGCATAGCCTAGAATAAGAGGCAAGCGCAATTTTATAAAAAAAAAAAAAAATCATAGTCAACAAACCTAAGAAAGATTTTTTTAAAACTACTATGCCTAGATAAATTAAGCCTTTCAAATAGCTATTATAAAACAATAAAATAATAATAATGGAATCATTAATAAGTTTTATTTATTTTTTAGGATTAATACAAACTGAAATTGTTTCATTTTCAAAACTATTACCTTTGTCATCTTCAGTGAACGGTTTGTACCTTACTTATGACCTGATCAAAAGAGGCAGGCCGGAAATGCCTGGGGTTCTTCACCCCAAAAACCCCAAGAAGAAATTTAAAAATATAAAAAAACGGACCTGATTATGAGATTATGAAAAAAATCAACCTATAGACTTCAAGAAATGGCACAACCTAAAATGGACCTAACTATAATGAAAAATCGCACCAATTAACTACTTAAGATGACAATATGAAAAGTATAACATCAGCAACCATAGACTTCAAGAAAAAAAATCTTACATTAAAGTGACTGTATGAAAGAATAAAATCACAAACTCACCACTGAATATGGCAAAACACCGAACATGTTTAGTGGGCCAGTGAAAATCTGAAAAGTGTCTGACAGTTCAAAAATGGTTGGAAAAAATTCAACTACAGGCTCATCGCCCCTCAAGAAGGAATTCCACCTGACGACAAAAAATTCTCACAAATCTACCACTGAAGATGACGAGAAGCAAAAAAGTATCTGACAGACTAAAGGGAATATATACAAATATTTAATCAGAAATTGCCAAATTTCATCATCAACCAATGACTGAATGTGGTGAGAGTCGAATCGCATTGACCAAAACAGCAAAAACAGGCAACTGTTATTAATAGAACACAACAATAACTACATGCTGAACTAATCTATTTGCTTCTCACAATTCCAGCATTTGCTATTTATAGTAAACTGCCAACAGGCTCAAGAACCATCCACTCCGAGTGTTGGCTGTCCGGGGTCAGACCTCAGTCTTATCCATCCAGCCATCGAGGTTAGGCTATGAGCGGGGGGGGGGGTGCTGTCAACACAAGCAATTTCAAACCCATTTGTACTCCCCAGGATTTCCCTCCTGAGCACTGCAGCTGAGCTGTACAGCTTATTGTACTTTATTCTTGGCTCCATATTTTGGGGGAGGGCTCGCAACACAAATGTTAACTTGAGCCCCCGTTGTACCGGTGTTCTTCCATCGAAGAAACTCATTTTTGAAGGGGGTTGGGACCAAATTCAGGGTCGCTGAGATCCGATCCCGCCCCTTCCATTGATGAGTGCCGTGTCAATTTCTTTCAATTGTGGCCACCAGTCCCCTTAGACATCAGAAAAAGTCCAGAGGCGATGGTGGGGATCGAACCCATGACAGCAGGATCTACTAGCCGAGAGTCTGACGCCTTAACTACTCGGCTACCGCAGCCCCCCCCCCATTTGTACTTACATTCATTCTTAAATACATTCACTCCTATTTACATATCGTTAATTCGATTAGGGTGATGGAGTTCTCGTTATTCTTTCATCACCCTTAACACACATTATACAACTAACCTAATTGAGGGTGGATGGGGACTCGATATTCCGCCATAGAGCCTCTCACACCATACATTCACACTAATAAATACATTCATTGGGAATAAACAACTACTATTACTGTATGCAACAGAATAACCTGTTTCCACCAAGAATCAGAACAGGGGACACAAATACTCGCTGCCATGCTTAAGAACAAGTGCACAAATTGGGTTGTGTGCTCTCTGTATGAGGCCAAGGAATTTCACCCTTCAGTTATGTGGGACACACAAGCAACCTTTTTGTGTATGACGGACCATAGGCTTTGGCCTAAAAGTAGATGTCTGTGTATCAACCTTGCATGGTCTATTCTTAACAGGGTGAGGATGACCCTTTTTGTACAAGTCAGATCCTCCAAGGGACACCAAGACAGTGCTTTTGATACATAAGAGCTTCTCTTGACCCAACCCATTGACGCTGATACCTTCTTGTTTTTTTATTGCAGAGTTAGCATCAGATGGCTGGATTGTGGTGGTTAGGACGTCCCAGCCTTAGCCACCTTGTCTGCCTTTTCATTACCCTCCAGACCTATATGCCTAGGTACCCACAAAACAACCACTGTTTTGCCAAGAGGCTCCAAGTCTCCCAAACAAAAGCAATATGAGAGGGTCAACGGAAAACTTGTCACAGTTTGCAGTAACCGCATTGAGGGAGTGCACTATGTGGGCGGAGTCACCTTCATCTCTAATCACCCCAAATGTGTGCCAAATTGCATACAGTTCTGCCATGTAAACATGCAGTGGGAGCGACCAAGTTGTGCCAAAAAACCAGCATACCTCGATCTAAGCTCCAAGAACAGCTTGTAAAGGTATGGCGGAGTAGGTGACTTGGCTAACACAGTGAGATCTTCCCAGACAAGTACGACTGGTTGCCCAGCTTGAGTACCATTCCACAGTCATCCCTGTCCTCCCTAAGGCTTCATTGATGCATAGTCGTGGAGGTTGCCTCCTTGTCTGAAACCGCTCGTATATTCTACTGCACTGGTGTCTAAGGATCACACCCAAAAGTAGATGTCCCGATTTGAAAAGAACCCCGCTGCATGGCTGAAGGTGAGAGAGCTGCTCCCTCTGAAATTTAGGCGGCTGCACTACCAACTAGCAGCAAAGGCTGGCCAAAGGGCTGGTTCTGAAACCGCTCGAGCCTCTGGGAATTTTTTGGGTTAAAGAAAAGGTCATGCAACCATAAAACATAGCAGTGAGTCAAATATTTTCACGAGGGGGCTGCAATAAGGTACGTAGAGAAGGTGAGGTTCCTCAGCCACATGTTCTACCAAAAGCTTAGATGGCAGCAACGCATTGACACTGTCAAGGTGAAGAAAAGGAAAATAACATTAAGTTCATTGGTCACTTCACTAGGGGTCTCCCTGTCCGCTCCCCATATCTGTTAGATCTTTCCCCGAAAGAAAAAGCAGAGGTCATTAATAGATATACAGTAGTTGTCTGATAGGCCAGAGGACACTGCTAGGTCTTCTCTTTTATTTCCACTGTTCCTGAGCCCATTTATGAGCTTTACAGAGGTAGGTTGTCTTGCTCCCCTTCACGGGATCTGCGCTATGAAAGCGCTAGGATGGGTGGTCCACTAGGCAGGGCTGGAGTGCCAGCCTGCACAAAGACTTAGCCATTCCAGGTCTCTGACCAGAATAGTGGTCATAATGGTAATCTTGTTTTCAACGTCTGCACAGTTCCCTGCAGGACACAGGAGGGTGTCAGCTTCTTCCATTACGTCTTCTTTCACCAGAAACTGAAGATTATCCTTATCGACCTTTTTAAAATCCATGTATCATCTCGGATGTGCCAAGAACACGTATCCAGACTTGGTCACTAGTTATAGCATTTATGTCTATTACAGGGGTGACATAAACATGAGGTCGATGACGGACTCTACCTGCGCAGCATGACTATGTTGAGTGATTTTAATTCACACAAACCTGTTGAGGAGATTGCTTGGAACACGTGCTTGAGATGTTGAGTGAGGAGTGTGTGGTCAGGGGACACCATCAGCAATACCGTTTACTGCGATTCAGAAAAGTATAATTCTTATCACTGAACCCTGAGGGACTCCATACTCTTGAACAAAGTCTGGATAGCGTGGATAGCATCTGACAGGTAATCGTCGGTTCTCAAGAAAGCCTCAAAGAACCGGTGTAATTTGCCTCTAAAGCCGATATCCCAGCCTGATACTGGCTGTAAAACCCTTTGTCTCAAGACACCAGGTTAAAGGATCATTTATCATCGACTTCAGGAGTTTATTCAAGCAAGTTGTCAGGGCAATCAGCCTGCAACTCGTGGCCAGATTTGTGTCCCTGCTCACCTCATGGTGGAAATGACCAGCGCCTCATGCCAACAGTCGGCACATCATCCCATATGTTGTTGAATAATTCCAACAGGCTATGCTTCTCACCCTGGAAAAGGTTTTACATATGGGATAACGTTGCACTCGGGGCTTCAATTCCAGGTGTGCCCTAACACAGCCTCCAACACTGTCAGCAGATGGATAACACTTCTTCCCCCCCATTGAACTCAACACATATTTGTTCTGTCTCGATTTTCATTCTACAGAAGATGGAGTCAGCCACAGAGCCGGCATGAAGCCCAGGTCACGTTCTAAAATTCTTAATAATAATAATATAATTAAGAATTAAGTTTGTAATAAAATCTTAATTAATTTCTATCAGTTTATTAAAAAAATAGGTGTTGGTAAGATTTTGAGATGTTGTTATTTTTTGAAAAAAGCCCTAACAAAATTTATGTTTGTTTTAAAATAAAATAAAAACAAAAAATATAAAAACATTCAATAACAAACTTTTTGCTTCGAGGAATGAATTCATTCTCAATACCCAGCCCTTTTATGTTTTAAATCAAGGGTGTTTCAAATCTACGGGGCAAGTAATACTTTTAACAATGAATTCTATTTAAAAAAAAAAAATTATGATTGTGTAATTTGTTAGACTTAACCACTCATTCAGAAGGGCAAAAACTGGCGTCAGAACTAAAAAAGTTACAACTCTACCAGCACACAACAATTTTGAGTAAAAAACATGCTGATTATTTTATTTTTTGTAGATTTTTATTTAATGATTTAAATTAGTCGCATCCAATTTTTTTACCCAGAATGAATGGCCCTTACCAGTGAGAATTTCTATTATACTAAGGTTGTTTACGGTAATACCTTCAGTCGCTGGATCTTCTTGAGCGTAGCATAACATGAACGCTAAAACAAGAACAAACAACTTCAAAAAGCGCAACATTTAACAGACGAATATTAATTAATATTATAACTACAAGACTTTTAAAAAATTGAACTAGTTATTAATTAATAAAATACATTTAGCTTATTTATAAAGACTAAATATACAAATACACGTACAATAATATGAAAGATTGTACCCTACAATAAAATGTACTTTAATTAACATACATATTTTAATAGTAAAATATTAAGCTAAAATACCAAACCTTGATTATTATTATTTTTCAGTTGAGTAGTGAACTCCATTTTGTTTTACAACTACTTACGCATACTTGAAGAATCCCCTTCGTTGATGGGTGTGCTCGGTGATTCTGCATGTGGGAGATAGATAGAGAGAGGAAGAAACAGAAACAGGGGAAACAAACATTACAAGTCAAGTTACAAAAAAGTAGTAGCAAGCAGAGAGACAAAAATTAGATTCAATGTTAAAAGGAGTACACGTTCAGTTTATCTGAATCAAGATTGGATGAATTCAAGAAATATTTTCCAATTTAATTTCTTAATTTTTCCCTCCCGGTTGTTTCTGTTTTCCTTGCGGAAATGAAGGAATTTTTTTGTACCTCTGGAGAAGAACAATGGGAAAAATCTATTTGAAGAATTTCTCAGCAATAAATGTAGAAATAGTCTCACTTTTCCATACACCCATCACAAAATTTTCTATTAAACTGAACAATCACCTGAACAAACTCTCAGTTGATCTGAGTTTCTGAGTTAATTGTTCAGACGAGACAAAATTGATGGATAAACTGAGCGTGTACGGAGGTCCTTTTTTTAATGATGTTAGTGATGACATGGGACTTAAAAGTATACTGCCAGAAATAATCCACTTTTCGAGCATGCTTCCAGCATGTTTGCTTCGCCTCGAAAAAGTAAATTTTTCCTGGAATGAGCGCCCAAAAAAATGCAGTGTTATATTTTCAGTGGATGATTGAATTATTATTATTTGTTATTAATTTTAAACATTCCGAATACCCCATTCTTTTTGTGTTGGAAAATTAATGAGGTTTTTGTGGTCTGACTTCTTAGTTTTCAAGCTTAAGGTTTTAACAACATACTATTTATAATGTAAAATAATTACAAAATTAAAAAATTAGCGTTTTTATTCTTATAGTATATGTTATTAAAATATAAGAAATATTTATTATCTCTAATAATAACAGTAATTCAATATTTCTGTCTCAAATTGAAAACCGAACTTAAGGTTTAAACTGCATCAACTTCCACTGCAGTATTTTTTTTTTTTTTATGGAAATGAAAGAATTTTTCTGACATAAGTTAATATTGTAGCATTGAAAATATGTACTGTGTAGTTCAGCTACTGAGGTTAAGTAAAATTCTTTAGTTACAAACGTTACAGCTCAAAGTGCAAAAGTTGAATAAAATTGTCGCAAAAGTAATTATTTTACATCTAAATGTCAACAAACAAAGCAATCCTTTCTAAACACCAATTTAAAGTAAGTTGTGTTATGTAATCAAGATATAAAAAACAAACAAAAATGCATTTTATACACCTGCTTTTCTAGGAATCTAAAGCATAACATCGCCAAAATAACCCTAAAATATATTCTAATGCCAAGCTAGTCGTCGGCAATAAATATACTACTTTTCCCTCTATTTCAAAACTTCCCAAATATTAGTATTTTTTGTTTTTTAATTTGTAATATATTTATTCTCACGAGGAGACATGCCGATGAAGAACATGCTCAACATACAGTCCCACGGACACTGAGCAAGCCATTTTGAACTATTGAAACTTCCATATACCTTCAGCTTGGGCAAAATTGATAAATTAATACGACAAAGTTTATGAATCTACAGAATGAAGTTATTTTTTTAAATTTTTTAAACTTTAATTCTAAATTTACAGTATAACAATCAATCAACTTACGTTCTTGATCAGAGCCGTCCTCAGACTTGTCATCTTTGCTCTTCATGAATGGGAATTTTCTTGAAAATGAGAAGTTCTTTTTCTTCCTCTCAAGTGTAGATTGCTGAAACGAAAATATTGGAAAATGAATGTAGTGAATGTATAAATAAATGGAAATATATTGTAAGTCTTTTTTTACATCAAATTAACCTTTTAAATTTCAAATTTATCCTTTTTAACTTTAAATTAACCTTTTTTAAATTCAAATTAGCCCTTTTTAACTTCAAATTAATCTTTTTTTTATTTTCAAATTAATGAACCTTTTATTTAATTTTTTTAATACATAGGAGATGGTATCAAATATAAGCATTAAATATAAAATTCCTGAATATTTGCGATTAAAAAATAAAAAATGTAAAAAAATAAATTTGGGTGTCTTATGGATAACCAGGATAGTGAGTCACAGATTTGTGCCAAACTTTGAGTTGAACTTTTCCAGTTTTTAATATTTCTATTTCTCCTTTTGACTTACTCTTAAATCTCACTATATGAATACATCATTTTACAGCATTTTTTATATAGATTGCAATAAAAATATGGTAAAAGCTATCAAAGTTTATCAATAACCAAAAAGATTCTAAAAACGAAATATTTTCAAGTAAACTAGGGCATAATTTTTTTTCTTGTGAAACATGAAATTTTGTTTTAGCATCTTTAGAGACCCCTTAATATAAATTTTTGTTTGAATTTAATTTTATTGATTTTTTGACCCCTAAATCAAACAAATCGTTCAGAAACAAGAGGATTATAGCTTTTTAACAACGTATGTACCATTAGCATTTATAAAATATTTATATAAGAAAATACACTAAATAGGAAAATTATATGGCAGAAATTAACCTAGTTTGTCTTAATGGAAATAATAGTCTGATTTTAATGTTTGATACAAATATAAAATGCACTTAACAATTTATTTAAAATGAATTATCAACCATGAAAATCGGTCCATTAGGTATTGAGAAACATTAGGTAAGATATTACAATTAATTAAGGTTTTTAGTTGAGATAAAAAAGTCAATGACACGAGTGGGATTTGAACCCACGACCTTCAGCTTGATACGCCGCTGCTCTACCACTTGAGCTATCGTGACCTCGATCCGCTCGGACACTACCTTCCCATCTCAACCCTACCTTTTGAATTTTCCCTCCTTTTTGCCATTTTTCAGTCAAGCTGTCATTTTATAAATATAAAATCATTTAAACAGAATTAGTCTATTATTTCCATTAAAAAAGAGGTTAATTACTGGCAAATAAATTTGATATTTTGTGTATTTTCTTCTAGAAATATTTTGTATATTCTAATGGTACGTATGCCGTTAGAAAGTTACGCTCCTCTTTTTGGAATGGTCTGTTTGACATTAAAATCCTTTTGGCAATTATTGAATTATAGCTGTTTCATTCAATCAGATATTCTGATAATGGCTTACCAAAAATTGAAAAAATTTTATTAGGGGTCAAAAAATTGAAAAAATTTAAATTCAAACAAAATTTATATTAAGGGGACTCTAGATGTGCTAAAATGAAATTACATGTTAGTTTTATGAGAAAAATATTTGACTTGGTTTACTTGAAAAATATTTGGTTTTTAGAAATTTTTTGGCTGTTGAATAACTTTGATAGCTTTTACCATATTTTTAATGCAATATCCATTAAAAAAATGATAACTATGATATTCACATAGTTGATTTTAAACAAGACAAAAGGTGAAATAAAAATATTAAAGAACATAAAATTTATATTTCCAATTTTATTTATTTATTTATTTTTTTTTGTAGCAAAACCAGGGCCTATTCACATGAAGTGGCAGATGTGTGTCCAATATTTTGGAGTGTAGAATCACCAAAAAAATTTGCCCCAAATCCATGACACGCCAACTTGGTCGTACCCTTATTAGAAGACCATATAAAAATAAAGGATTCTTCCTTTAATTTGACTATTAAAAGAATAATCCTTTATTTATATATTTAATTTTCTGTAATGTTATTTTAATTTTACTGTTATTAATATTCACATGACCTTCTAAAAGTCCAATTATTTTATACTAAAAAAGTTAAGTTTTGTTAATGCTTTAGACAAAGAATTAATTTTGAAAGTTAAAAAGGTTAATTTGTAATTAACATAAGAATACTTTTAAGTTAAAAAGGGTTAATTTGACAGAAAAATCAACATATAAAATAATCTGTTATTATACGCACAGCATTAATTTTTGCCCATGACAGTAACTGCTTAATATGCATTTCGGTGTAATTCCAATAACCCCTCTTCAGGTGAAGGAGAGAGAGAAAGAGAGGAAGAGAGAGAGAAGGGGCAGAGAGACAGACAGAGGAGAGAGAGAGAGAGAGAAAAAGTGAGAGGGAAAGAGAGAGAGAGAGAGTTTGAGGGACAAGTAGACAAATAGAGGTGAGAGGGAGGGAAGAAGAAAAGGGACAGAGGGAGAGAGAAAATAAGAAAAATTGAACAAGAGTATTGACTAAAGAATTATGTCCTCCCTAACTTCATCAACTAATAGTCAATTTTTGTTTTAAAATCATTCAATTCTTTACTAAATGTATTAAGGACATTAGAAAGAAATTATCTTCCAAAATGTTGAAAACAGTACCTCTCCTACCTTGTCGAGCATTAGGGGCATATGGCCAGTAAACTTGACCGTCCTATCCCTGGCCCTTTGCTTTCTCTCCCACCTTCTCCTCGACGGGATGATGCCTATAGTCGATTCTTCCTCCCCCGTCGTTGTCAGGACTCTCCGGGCCTGCCACCATTCATCGTCAGACGCATTCGTCACGTGAAGAATGTCACCGTAGTGAAAGGGGAGTCCCCGCGAAGGGAGTCCGTCATCCCTTGAAGGGTCATAATCAAAAAGTGCTCTAGAATACAAATAAAACGAACATAAATTGATGTTAATAACCAAATATGAATTGTTAAGTTCATTACAGTTTTTCCCTCTTCGGAAACCACAATATGTTATCTTCATTATTTCTGTAAATACAGCTTTAATTTGTGTTAGTCTTAGTTAAAATCTCCTTGGTGTCTGTTTTTCCACATTCTGTTGAAGTAGATGTCGTGATTTGTTATAATGCTTTAGTGTGAAAGCGTAGGATTGTACGATTGTAAAAGTATGAGGAAATTTAGTAATAAATGTATAGTATTTATATATAAATATCTTTATGTATATTTATATGTATTTATATATCAAACATATTGACTGTTAATTATTGATTATTTTGAGATCGTGAGATGCATTCTTGTGTGATAAAGGTTTAGAAAAACCTATAATTTTTTTTTCTTTATTGTGCCAACATTTCGATCTTTATTTAGATCATCTTCAGGGCCTGGGATTTACAAACATTGTTTTCATTATAAATAAATGTAGGATGTGAAAATGAATTTGTTCAATCGTGTACACAATATAGAAATTTTAGGTTTAATCAAACCTAAAAACCTATTTGTACTCACTCAAAGTGTGTGTTTTCTGTGTAGATGTGTCACAGTTGTGCGTCGAGTTGGGAGTGTTGTGAGATAGACATTTTTTAAATTTATTTATACATATATGTTTGATTTTGATTGAAGGAATGGGAAAGGAATAGGGATAGAAATTATTTTTTCTATGAGGAGTCGGCTTCTTTGAGGTGAAAGGGGCCGACAATAGGAAAAAAGAGTAATGGTTTTTCATTCGTTTCAGGATGATTATGGACGGGATTATTAGGTAAAGAAAGGATAAATTGTTATTGATTTAGACTATGTGAAATTCTTTGATATGTGGAATGTAATGATTGTTTTATATTGTATTATGTAATAAAAGATAACTAAGCCCAAATGAAAACCATTACCCTTTTTTTCCCATTGTCGGGCCCCTTTCACCTCAAAGAAACCGACTCCTCATAGAACAAATAATTTCTATCCCTACTTTCTTTCCCTCTCGTTCAAAATCAAACATATAACCAAAAAAACAACCATAACACATCTGCACAGGAAACACACACTTTGAATGAGTACAAATACTTTGATTGAACCTAAAATTTCTTGAGTATTATCATTTGTATAATGTAAACAATGTTTGTAAATCCCAGGCCTGAAGACGATCTAAATAAAGATCGAAACGTTGGTACAAAAAGAAAACTTTTTTCTAAACTTATATCACTCAAGACCGCATTTCACGATTTCCAAATAATCTTTGGTAATAAACAGAGGCACCTTACCTAACATATAAAGATCTTTTCTGGGACGTCCTCAGGAGCGTTCCGGTGGAGCCCTGATGGGAGATCTGCTGTTTGAGATCATGGATTTTTGCTTCAAACCTGTTGTAGTCCTCTGGTTTGTACTGGGCGACGATCGTGACTGTCTGACCCGCACCCTGAAAAATACGCCGTTTCATAACGTGTTTTTTTTTTTCTCGCGAATTTCGTTTACCTTGAGGGCTTGTGCGGCTTCTTCGTGCGTCGCGTTTCTCAGGTTGACGCCGTTGACGCTGAGGATTTGGTCACCGCGTTTGAGGTCCCCGGCCAGATCCGCAGGACCGCCGGCCAGGATGTACGAGACGAAGATGCCCTCGCCGTCCTCACCGCCGACGATGTTGAAACCCAGTCCTGAATTGCCCTTGTTCAACACTATCGTCCGAGGCTCCCTGAAACAAAAGAACAACTTAACGACTGAGACAAAAACGGGCGACCGTTGAGACAAAAACTTCAAAACCCTCTGCCGTCTCCTTGGACTGGAGTAGTTGAAAATGAAGTTGAATTTCGTGATCATGTTCGCTACGCGTAGGTGCCGTTCAGACTCACCGGATTCAAATGTTCGAAGGACAAAAGACCCGCCCGGAGGCACCCTTCTGCATCGGCGTGATTAGAACAGAAGGCAACTCAATTCAACCCTCGAACAAAATGGGTTGGAAAACAATATTGGAACATTTATGTCACAACGTTTTCCAATTTTCTTACACGTTCAGCGGTGGAAAAAATAACACCCTACAAAAACCTACTCTCTTATTTGTTTAAATTCATTAGATTTCGTGGTCCGATTGATCAAATAACTTCTTTCAATTAATTAATCTTTATGTAAGGTATTGGTTGAGATAAAAAAGTCAGTGTCACGAGCGGGATTCGAACCCACGACCTTCCGTTAAATACGCCGCTCCTCTACCACTTGAGCTATCGTGACTTCGATCCAATGGACAATCGGACCACGAAATCTAATGAATTTAAAAAATAAAATGAAGTAAATCTTCACTAAAAAGTTCTCCGTGGCCATTTCATTTATCGCCGAGAATCGAACAGATTACACGACATTTGAAAAATGGCAAAAAGGAGGGAAAATTAGAAAGGTGGGAAGTTGGTGTCCGAGTGAATCGAAGTCACGATAGCTCAAGTGGTACAGGAGCGGCATATTTAGCCGAAGGTCGTGGGTTCGAATCCTGCTCGTGACACTGACTTTTTTATCTCAACCAATATCTTACATAAAGATTACTTATTTTTTATATTTTAAATTGAGGACGGTTAAATAGACAGCAAAAGCTACAGGGTGTCAGTGGGTTGGATTTACAATGCACCAGCCTTACATTTTTAAGTATAAGGGACACCAAAACTGAAAAAGTGCAAATACACTGACAGCCAAAAAATCCCACCCAACTGATTTTTTTATTTATTTTCTCCATAAAAGAAAATTCTGCCCTTAATCTTTCTCATTGTTTTTATCAATAAATATTTGTTTATGCTATATTTTAAATTGGAAATAGAGAGAGACACACACTTAATCCTTAATCGAAAACAATGCGTGCAACTCTGTGATTTGGACAATTCTGGTCCTCTTACGGGGAGAAAAGCCTACGGTCCATACAGATTTAATCTTCTTCTTTCTTCTCCTTCTTTAACTTTCGTCTCGTAGTGTTTCGTAGGGAACTGGCAATAGCCGTATAACCTGATGGAACGTCCATCATCAATAAGTGCCACACCACGCGCAACAACCTCTGCACCAAGTGGCATTTTTAAGTTCAAAAATTGAAATTAAGAAAAAGATGAAAACTAAACTAAATGAGACTGAAGACTGAGTTTATAAGGATAAAGGATTTTTCAATGTTTAATTTTTACGGAATTTAAAATGTTTATTCAGTTTATTCTCAACTCTGAACACTGATGAATTCTGAAGCAATAAACTGTTTAGTTTTTATCTTTGTTTACTTAATTTCAATTTTTGAAGAGGACCAAAATTGACCAGATCACAGAGTTGCACGGCTCCCATTTGCTCGAGAGCAGTCATTGGTTTTTGGACAATCGGTCTGCTGTACTTTTTACAGATGAGTGTAGAATTGCTCTACGATCTCCAGATGGGTATGAAAGAGTGTGGAGAAGGCGAAATGTAAGGTATGAAGCTTGTAATTTTCCCAGAGCCAACTTTCCAACGTAGCTCAGTGATGGTGTGAGAGGGAATTTCGATGGAGTCGCACAGAGTTGGTTGTTCGTGGAGGGTCTTTGACGGCCGCTCGCTAAGTGGATGAAATATTGGAACATCATGCGTTGCCTATCCTCGATCGAAGAAAACTTACAAATCACCGGAATCACTTAGGAATAGACTAACAATTTAACTAACAATTTATAACGTAGGTTTGCTCATAAAAACGCATATTACCTCCTCTGGCAAAAAAATTCTCATAAGATCTGATAGCCAAGAAGCAATTAAAGCATTATTAGCATGTAAAAAAATCACACCAAAATTAGGCAGTGAATGCATCAAAAAAATCCACCTAGGGAAACACAACAACCTGATGATATCTTGGGTGACAGGGCACAAAGGAATTTTGGGAAGCGAAAAAGCAGACAAACTGGCCAGAGGAGGATCTCAAGACCATATATAGGCCCCGAAAATACTTGGGATAACAAAAACACATATAGAATCCTCCATCGCAGAATGGATCCAAATAAAACAAAAGGAGAAGTGGATAAACTCTATGGGCGCTAGACACAGTAAACATAGGATAAAACAACCCTCACGAAGACTGGCAAATCAATGCAACAATTGGAGAGGGCTGGACTCAAGAGGAGTGAATGGACTATTAACCGGTCACTGTCATCTGAGAAAACATCCACCCAACATGGGCATGTACAATGATAATCCCATCTGCAGATTATGCAATGAAGAGGAGGAAACAGCCACCCACATCATCTTCGAATGCGAAGCAACTGCTCAATGGAGACTTAACCTAACATACAGAAAAATCCTAGGGAATGGAATTTAGTAGCGACAGTCAATGACCTGATACTTATAAGAAGAAAGATTGAGTCTATTGCACTGAATTAGGGAACTAGGAAGGTACAATAAGCCAGAAGGCTGCAGTGTCTGGGAACAAACCCCGCTTCCTAGTATCCTCAATACCATCACTATCACCTCCTCAGGCCTCGCGGAGGGGCTTAAATCTTCTGAGCATCGAGCAATTAAGCGATCTGATTTCGTCTTGTGAAACAGAATATCATAGTTCAATAAGAGCGGTTTGAACGTTTTGTTGGAGGCGGAGAAGAATATCTAACCCGTCTCTTTATCATGTCCCATTTTGTATAAGGGTCATGGCAGGAAAACTGGCCAATTCATTGTGAAAATCTCTACTTCGTCCAAGTGGTGACAACTCGTACTACATGCGGTCGAGTATTATGCATTAACACGAAGTTGTCCCCTATATATGGAGCGAATGTGATCACAATCTTCTAGAAAAACTTCTTCGATGTACCTTAATGCCACCCAACCAGGGAGTTGTGGCCCACTCAATGTGGAACTATAGCGACAACGGGCGGTATAGTGTGGTTGAGGCTCGAGACCCCGAAACTGCCCACTCGTGTCCTCGTCCACGTCCCTTTCTCAATCCAGGTTCCTTCATTCTATCCTGTGACCCCCTCCCAACCCTTGGTTACAAGGGGGGTTTCCGGGCGCAAAATAACGGTGTAGCCCAGAGGGCGTGGCAACCTCTCTAAAGCACAAGCTGTACTCGTGTAGTCCTCGAGTCGGCATGGGCGGCGGGTGCATTATCAGAGGCACACGAGGGTTAGGGTACAAGATCCTGTCTGCATAGACAGGGAAGGATGTATAACCATCTGTACTACGGGGTAACAGAAATGTTCCAAAATTCAGCCCTGTTACACTGGGAATGGACTCGTAGTGGTTCGTGACGCCCCTGGCTGGAACTTAGAGAAGAGGCTGTCTTCTATCTGTGACCTTCGCACGAAACTTGCGCATGACCATCGTTATACACCCGGCCTCACGGGATACGGCGGATCGGACGGCAGTGTATAAGCGCTGAGGACGTATGATTATGCTGGACAGTCCCTCGAATGCGTGAGTAGTGGCGGATGGGAACGGGTAGTGAATCGGTTGCTCCTACTCGAGTATGCTTTGCACGTAGTTGTAGGCTGAGCTCGATTGGAGGCTTTTACCGTAGGCGGTCTCCTCTAGGGGGTGGTTAGCAATTCCACTTTAAACAAAACCGCGGCCGGAGCGGATCCGGTAGTTTCTACGCTAAAGAAGCCCCAACACTCTGGGAGATAGAGTCGCCTTCTCTATCTACGGAGTGCACGGGAGACCGGGCTGATGTATTTCGGCTTAGGTAGCCCTTTGCGCGCGGCATACGGTTTGATGCTCAATGCAGACCCGACCACTCGGAATGGGCAAGCGGGGAGCGAGGTTGTCTTGGCCCTTCGGGGCTGAGCTGCCTCTACACCAATGCTGCGGCAGTAACACCATTCTGTCGTATGGGCTAGGTGCGGACGTTAAAGATCCTCATTGTCCTTTTTAGGACGACCGAGTATACGGGAATGTACTGTACTGTACCTTAGTGCAATCAAAGATCCATTCAGTGTAATAATCAGTTCGGTACGAGCATGGACGTTGATTCCACCCCATTCCATAACAGACTGTCTTTGAAAGGTCACTGACTCTCTTCTCCAAACACGGTCCGAGTCATCTGATTCGATACAAATCGTCTGTGAAGAGAACAGCACCCCCATAGTTCACTGACCAAACGAGATACTTAATTGCGAATTGTCGCCTTTCTACTCGATCCCTCTTAAGTAGTAGAGAACCTGATGATTGTTTTAAAGCTCTCTCTTAAAATACAAACCGTTTAGAGTTGACTACCTACCGACGAAGCCGTTAAATGACAGTTCCGTAAGAACAATAAAACAACAATAAATCGCGGTCGACCACTACCTTATCTTCGATCGAGACGTCCGGTGATACTAAACCCTGTAGACCATCTTGGATGGAAGAGCGTGGGACAGAGGACTTGGGCTATGTAATGGGCGCTATGTCGTTGGCCAAAGCATTTGCCGGGACCAGATCTTCTCTACTTTAAAAAAAGCCATGCTTTTAAGATCAAAAATTAATAATACATTTTTTACTCAACTTTATTGATTTACCAAAGAAAACAATTTAAAAACCAATTAACTCACTCGAAGTTGACTGGAAACGATGAAAGCAAACAATTTTTCTTTATTTTTAATCCAAAGAGTGCAAAAGAATTGTTAACATACTATAAAGGTAAAAACAAGTTATTAATGTTATATTAGTCATTAGAAAATAAATAAAAGTTTTATATTATTGAAAAAATCACCACGCTAGCGACCCTGGGTTCAAATGCAAAGCCCT